ACCACTAGTAGATATTATCCTCTTTGGGCTTTCCCTTTCGGGCTTCCTCTCAAAGTTTAAAAAATGCGTCTGCTAGGGAGAGGTTTCCACATCCTTAGAAAGGATGCTTTATCCTCCTCCCCAACCAATGTGGAATCTCACAATTCGCATCACCTACGGTCGAGCAACGTATGCTCAAGCCTTTGACCCTGTTTGAAAAGAAGGTTTTACGGTCGGGTAACGTATGCTCAAGCCTTTGGCCTTGTTTGAGAATAAGATTTTAGAAAATGGAGGCAGAGAAATTTTTGAAAGCGAATTTGAAAGTAAGAACGAGAGAAGATTTTAAAAGTAACATTATATAACTATAAGCAAAAAGGCAACACAACAACTTAAATAACGGAAGAATTCGACAACTACCAACCATTTCTTGTCTTACCTGCCAGTTTGAATTTATATTGAAAGAAACTTGCTTCCAGTGGAGAACCCCTGTGACCACCATGTTTCTAGTCTCAGTGAGATAAACATCAGAATTTGACACTTTGAGACGATATTCAAGTTAAAATGATCTAACCAATACCTTTCCTTGTGCGTTTGAGAAGCTCTCCTCCTCTGGAAACATGGTTGATTGCTATCAAGATGTTTGATTCTTTCCCTTCTTCTTCAACTTTATCCTCACCCACTCCAAAGTTTGTGCCTCCCAACCCTTTTTCAAGCCTTGACCTTAAGGTTGCAGCTCCTCTTAAAGCTGCGTTAATAAAGAAATGTTTGAGAGTGATATGGATTTTGCTTCATCAGTTGTGAAAATTAGCTGATTATTAGGCTTTTTCCAAGCAACCTGTAGCTGCTCCTGCTGTTAGGGTCATGATATCTCCATTAGTTCTAGCATTGATTGCAGAGTTAACTACATTCAAGATATGTTCATGGCTAGCTCCCATTTCCTCTGCCATCTCTATGCAATGAGATGCGACAAGGGCAGCTGCAGAAGCCATGGCTGATGATGTCTTTGAAGGCCATTTGTGATTACCCGATGATGTTTCACAAGATAAGAGTGATGCAATGAATGCTGCTACTGAAGCAGCAACACCTGCTACAGATACAGCTGCATGTAATTGAGCATTCTGTGATCTGATTTCCTGCTTCTTCCTCTCCTTTTGATCCTTCATCCACCTCCCCAATGTTTTATTACCTCTTAATATGCTCTTGTATAGCTGCATCAAGGGAACAAAAATGATGAACATGTTATCGTAACCGCCCAAGCCCAAGCCCAACCTCACCACTCACCGATATTGTTTTCTTTGGGCTTTCCCTTCAGGGCTTTCCCCAAGGTTTTAAAATGCGTCAACTAGGGAGAGGTGTCCTCTTTAGGCTTTCCCTTAAAGTTTTAAAACGTGTCTACTAGGGAGAGATGTCCTCTTTTGGGCTTTCCCTTCGGGGCTTTCCCTTAAGGTTTTAAAACGCGTCTACTAGGAAAAGATGTCCTCTTTGGGCTTTCCCTTTAGGTTTTAAAACGCGTCTACCAGGGAGAGGTGTCCTCTTGGACTTTCCCTTCAGGGTTTCCCCTTAAAGTTTTAAAACATATCTACCAGGGAGAGGTGTCCTCTTTGGGCTTTCTCTTCAGGATTTTTCCTTAAAATTTTAAAACGTGTCTAATAGGGAAAGGTATCCTCTTTGGGCTTTCCCTTTAGATTTAAAACGCGTCTACTATAAATAGGTTTCCACACCCTTATAAGAAAAACTTCGTTCCCCTCTCCGACCAATATGGGATCTCACGGGTATACTTTGCTTCTTCTTTCCATGTATGTGTAAGTATTTTGAAGTATGAATGAGACATACCCCATTTCCAAGTAGTTGCTGGTTGGAAAGGAAATCTGGGTTCAATGCTTGGTGAAGTAACAAAAGTTCCTACTCAAAAGAGAATGCATGTGCAATTCAGAGAGATACTCTGTACCAATATAACAAATGTGGCAGCAAAAACTAATTCGTGTTGGTGGTGTGTGCTCGAGTGTGGGCTGCAGCCAGCTTCAATTAAAGTACCTTCATTTCTTCACTTCCTCTTGGTGAAGCTGGAGGACTATCTCCACTGGGTAAGTGTCGAAGTAGCTGTAACATTAAACATAATTAATCAAAAAACAGGAGGAGGATTTGACCCGTTATGTATCGTCGTCAACCTCATAGTTTATAAAGCGTGTTTGTTAGGGAGAGGTTTCCGCATCCTTATAAGCAATGCTTCGTTCCTTCTTCAACCGATGTGGGATCTTACAATCCACCTCCCTTGGAGGCTAGTATCATCGCTGGCACGCCGCTCGGTGCCTGGCTATGCTACCATTTGTAACGGCCCAAACCGGGGCTAACAGATATTGTCTGCTTTGACCTGTTACGTATCGTCGTCAGCCTCACGGTTTTTAAAACATGTCTGTTAAGAAAAGATTTCCACACCCTTTTAAGAAATGTTTCGTTCCCCTCTCCAACCGGTGTGGGATCTACATGTCTTGCTATGGTTGATATGAGATATACATTAAAAATATAAAAGAGAGGAGGAAGAGGTATCTCACTGGCTCACTCAAGACTGAAGAATTTGAATCATGTGCATCAGCACTAAGAAACCCAATCACTGAGTTCTGAAGACGACTAGGAGTATCATGAGCAGTGGAAAGAGCCTTAGAGAGCTCTTTGGCAGACAGGCTCCAAGATCTGCCAAGAAATTCCATGGACTCAATTGGAGTTTCAGGTAGAACAAACGAACCCGGCAACCAATTTGCAGGGCTATTTTCATCTATGTTCTCCAGCCGAGTTGATGAACATCTAGCCAAACATGAACTCACTGAAACAGACAATAACGTTTAACCAAAGTAATGAGTACAGTAATGTGAAGAGAAGTGACTATGGATGCATGGCCTTACTTTCACTGTCTGAGTTAAGAGAGATGACCATGACCAGTTGTTCCTTCAGTGAGCTCCTGAGGAAACAAGCGAGCCTCATTTGGGGTATTTAACAGAGAATGATGAAATAGAGGTATGGAGATTCTGTTACTTTATTGAGGAAAGTGAAAGCCAAAAAGAGTGCACGAATTCCATAAACATATATAAAAAGAAAGGACCCCATTACAAGGCCGATGGTGCATTTGTTTCTCAGCGGCTGTGTTCATGATTGCAATGGCTACTCATCTCTGTTCTTCATCGACTTTATCAGAAAGTAAAGTAACAAATCTTGAACAGAACTAAGCAAGCAAGTAGTAAAAAGAACGTCACCTTATTTTGCTTAAAGTTATGGCCTTTTTTTTTTTCATTCCCCGGAATAAACTCAGGTCCTGTCACAATTGTTTCTTTATTCACTCAAAAAACTAATGTAAAAGGCCTATGAACTTACGTCGAACAGTTAGCCTGCATTCGCAAAAGGAGCCTGAGATAGCTTAGATAAAGAGAACCGTATCCTCAACTTTTACTGCACACAAACATCTGATGATTGATTGATATACATTTATACCATATTCCCAACACGATATCCCACTTTAACCAAAGCTTTTAAAGTGTGCAAAATTTAAAATTGTTAAAAAGGGTTACATAGTTTCGTTTGCAAGATCCCACGTTTGTGGAGGAGGATGAAACATTCTTTATAAGGATGGAAAACCTCCTCCTAATAGACTGCGTTTTAAAAACCTTGAAGGGAAACTAGACATTGGACAATGTGTCAGTGAGGAGGTTGAGCCCCGAAAGGAGGTGGATTGGGGGTCCCACATTGATTGGAGAAAGTTACGTTTTAATATCGGCTAGCGGTGAACTTAGACTATTAGGACCGTACCTTTTGGCTTGTCTAAGAGCCACCGGGAACCGATAATATATGATAATGATGATCAATAATTACGATAATCATAATGATAATCCCAAGGATGGCAGACCCACCATTGGAAGACGCCATCTATGCCCTTTGCAACTTTCATAATTGCTGCTGTTATATATAATCATAGAAGCGGGACATAGAGCACTATCCCTACCACCTCCTGAATCTCAGCCACTCAACAACAACAACAACAACCATTCATATTTCTTCATCAAATTGTTCATAAATTTCACAGAACAACATAAAGATTTGATCCTCACGCTTACATTTATTGAACTAAAAACAGCTACTAACAAAATAATTGGATGTTGATCAAAAGAACAGAATTTGATTTAGTGGCACCATGTGGTTAGACCCATAATTTGAGGAAGGGGCAAAGGCAGAGTCAGTTGAAGCACAAGGATCATTATTAAAAGTGGCGAACAGCATTCATAGCATGCCAACCCCAAACCCAGGCCACCGTTTTTCTTTTACCTTCATCTGTGGAAGCCTTACAGTGAATCTTAGATTTTGCTGTCGGAAAAGAGATTTTATACCCAAAACAACATCAACACCAAACCCCATTACTCCATACACCATTAAACAGACACCCAATTCAGTTTCAGCTTTCAGTTCTTCATAATATGGACACAAAACAGAGTAAGCATCATACAAGTCCCCCACAAATACTGAAAACAGAGCGAGGGTAGCTGATAGAAAGAACACAACTAAGAGGGAGGAGATGAGGAGCAGGAGAGTGAGTGCAATGAAGCAGCCATAGAGACAAGCAAGAGCTATCAGATCCAAACTGGGAACCATTGGATTGGTTCCTCCTGCAATCTTTTGGAACCCAGTTTGGTAATGGTTAAAAGTTGAGAAAAGGAATGAGGATGGAGTGAGGTGCACTTTATGCTATGCTTGGTGAAATGAACTAAAGAAGAGGGAACTGAGTTTGTAGCGGAGAATTTCATTGGATTGATTGCTGAGCAAGGCAAATCCTTGCTTGTTCTTGTTTGCCACAAAAGAGAGTAAGAGAAGAAGGAATCTAGTTTGGACCCATTTCTGAGAACACAGACTTCTATCAATCATGAACAAGATTATGGAATTTAAATCATAAAACTAAGAACCCATCAAATCAAATTGAATGATCTGTAAGTGTGTACAGTAGCAAGATCAAAGCAATCCAGTTTGACGCCTAAAAAAAGTGATTCAAAATTGGTGACTTTTGCAATGAAAAAGAAATGAACTCAAAAGCCAGTTCAAGGATGGTTTGGCAATTACAATCTCAGCAGCTGGGTCCTTCTGTACAATATGGAATCAACAAAAGTTCTTTATAAGAAAAGGACATCAATATTTGAATGAAACTACAGGACTTCCCTCCATAAGCTTCGCCATTTGGACAGAGTAAAAGCTTGCAGTAGCTACATAAAGTGAATGTTCAGTCAATATATCTGAGAAATGCTAGCAGTAAGCGCACCGTTCGTATCGCTCACCAACAATGCCAAACAATCCGAAGCAGGAGAAACAATTTGAAAAATAATGGTGGACAATGGAAGGCCATCTGAGCTGATCGAGGGGGCGTGCTATTGTGTAGCCTTTTCTGGATGACATGAGGATAACCATCAAAGTTAACTCATTTTGGTTTTGAATTGCAGACAATAGAACAAAACTTTTAAGTCTTTGTGAAGTCCAAAAAAGCCAAGAAGAGAGCTTCAAGTACTCACCTTCCTTTCAGATCTTGAATCTCATGTAAGTGAAGCCGTGACGTCGAGAATGTTCTTCATGAGCCATTTGTGAGGATAAACTGCACTTGACGGTTTAAAATTGATGTTCCAGACCATGATTCTCGAGCAGTCTTCCAGTAAACCTTCCATTTGGCTTTCGTCTTCCACAATTTGCTCGATGAAGTCGCTTGCCTAGAAGAACATATCCATCAGTTGCCAGTTTTTTAGGTGCTACATATATGAAAATAATGGAAGATTTGATCTACTTTTTTGTCATTTCTTATCCTCAAAGCAGTACAATTTCCAACTGGTTTGAGAATAAATGAACAGGAATAAAAACTAACTTGGAGGCCATCTCTGATGGTATCGAGCTGCCTAACAGGTTCTAAAGTGCGTCGACGCCACCTCTCTGGATCCCAGAGTATGGTGCTATTGAAAGCAAAGCCTGATATTTCAGCATGAAACCTACGAAGTCTCATACTTGACTCATATACGTGCCATCCAATTACAAGACTTCCATTGCAAATGGGGCCTTCCAGAATGGATCTACTAGCACCCCCTAAGAGTTTCGCCACTGGCCAAGTTCCGAATCGTCTACAAATGAAAGTTTTTAAATAAATGAACTAATGGTAAGAGATACAATGACTACACATAGCCTAACCAAAGAAAAAGCATGTTTAAGAGAAGATACAAACAGTTGGTACCAACATAATATCTTCCTGTGTATGCAGAGAAAGAGAACAGCAATGTTGACTCCACACTTTTTGAGTTAAAGAACAAATTTGTTCTCTGTATTACGAAGACGATCTTCGGAAAAAAGAGATCACAAGTTCATGCTTTTAGACAGGAAATTGCGTAGATAAGAATGTGCTAGAAAAACATGCTATTCATAGGTAAGCAGGCAGGCCGTGCTGCTCATGTTTCATGATAAATGTTAATCTGACAGATCCATACTATAACAGCCCAAACCCGCCACTAGCAGATATTGTATTCTTTGAGTTTTCCCTTCAAGGGCTTTCCCTCAAGATTTTAAAACGCGTCTGCTAGGGAGAGGTTTCTACACCCTTATAAAGAGTCGTTCCCCTCTATAACCGACATGGGCTCTCACAAGTACATTGATAGTAAAAAAATATTCAAAGAGCAACCTCGGGTTTGATATGATCTAGTTTCTTAGTATTATCTCGAGCACTGAGGACACTACGAAAAATACATGTACAAGAATGAGGCAACTGATATGGTATATAGGAAATGGAAGATGAGAAACTTTTATTAACATATCTTCCTTGAACCAGAAATCTCCCAACTTAATTGAATCAAAACTGAGAAGAAAAAACTGTATGTACTAAGAGCCATTATAGCATTTAGTCCATCCTCATTGGTGCATACTCAAACAAGGCAAGTATTTCATAAGCATTAAGAAATCATAGCAAAAATACCTGATCTCCCTCATTTGTTCGAATAGATCAACCAAATAGACGTTATTCTCATCTGCAAAGTAAACGATTCCATCAAGGCGGTGTGTTTCAATGTGAGACAGGGCTAGATTTCTTTGATGAACTCTTCCATCTCTCATATCAGTTAAGTTTTTATTGCAAACAATATGTCTATACATAATCCCAGTACTCCTCAGTACAGCAGCTGTTTCATCTGATTGGGAGAACATCTCCACAACTATCCATAGAAGAGGCGGTTGGACCAACTTTAACGTATGCGCCAATCGATTAAGATAATAGGACTGGAGCGGATGAGCAGACGTCGAGGTCACAATAATCAGTAGCTTTCGAGGCTCTAATTCTCGAGCAATTACGAGGCTATCCAAATTATCATAAGAAACGTTATTATGCATTAGCACCTCTGATTGTGTGGGGCTACTCTTAGTGTTGGTGCTGCTAGAACTATTCTGAGGCACAGAATTCTCATCAGTGGAGATCCTATCAAACTGGAAAGCTTGATATTCTGACATGACATTCATGGATAAGTTGGAAGATGCAAAAGGGGTAAATCCAGCAAGAAACCCAATGACAAAGCACATAAAGAAATGGAACATAGCCCTCTTCCAAACTGGTACCTTTGATTTAGATTTGTCTATTGGTCTAGAAGACCTTGGTGAGTAGATACCAAGAGTGGCTGCTTGGGTCTTCAATGAGTTGAACAGGGAGTCGTGCAGTCCAGTAGATTGAGGGTAGGTTTGAGGAGATAATGAAGACCTGCACAGGGGAGAACCTACTGAACACGCTTCTCCATTCATGGAAGCTCCCGGTCGAGGAACAGGGGACAAGGTTCTTCTAATAGAAGCCATGAAAAGAGAAATCTCACAAACCCCAGATTCCCAATGCCACTATTACAGACCAGAGCTCCAAATCTACACCGAGCTGAGCTTTCCCATTGCAGCTCATCCTAGTGAGCTCTCAGTGGCATGTCGGAGAGTTTGACCCATCCATCCAACTTTCCCCAAATTAATGGACTCTTCAAATCCAATTCCAGACCAGACCTAAACGAACCCCAAGAACCTAGGAAGCCAATGATTGGAACCGTATCAACAAGTTCCAAAATCCTCCCAACATTATCAAACAAACCCAGAAAGAAATACACAAGACACAAAAAACCCAAGTTCCAATACCTGAAACAAGAGCGTTTTTAACACTGAAATGGCGATCAGTTCCTGCTGCAACTAAATGGGTCGCCGTATAACACGCAGATTACATAGACAATCGGGACACTATACACAAATCTTCGCTGTAGAGCTGGATTTTAAAGCGGACTAGACCACCCAGTTGGATTGGAGCTCGTACTCAACTACTCTCTCACCTCTCTCATCCCCCAATAAGGAGATTCAGACAATGAATAAAAAATATATGGTTTTCTTTTGTGAGTTGGGTTCGCGTCAGCGCCGGTGCTGGACCAAAAACGAGAGGCATAGGCACATATGGCTACAATTCAAAATGGGTAGTAGTAGATATGGAAACATGAAGCCTCTGCCTGCTTCCCACCGAGGCCTCAGAAACCAATGGGTTTTAATTCATTACCACCCTTGCTGCACCCATAAACATGATTAACTCACTTTTGGGAATTAGTTACCAACTGATTTTATATTTTCCTTTTATTGTGATATGCAAATGGTATTATTTCTATAAATTCATAGCATCCTGGTTCTTTTATTATTGTTATTCCTCATTTAATAATTTCTTGATGTTCTTATGAGCTCATAACACCATCTTCAAAAATATGTCATCCCATCCATATTTTATTATATTTTGTGGAGAAATTTGCACATAGTACGGTTTTAATTTGATCAATAATGTGATCAACTAGTCTCGTGTAGTTTGTTGAATATTATCAGTCTCCTTTGTTATTGATATCAACATCAATATTAATTGGTGTCGAATCCTTTGATATTTTAGTTTTTTTGCATGCATCAAAATTTTAAAATTAATGCATACAAACTAATGTAATAGCTCAAGCTGACTATTAGAAGACATTGGCATTTTTGACTCATGACTTATAGCCGTCAGTCCCACTGTTTTAAAACGCGTCTGTTAGTGAGAAGTTTACACTCTTATAAGAAATGTTTCGTTCTCCTCTCCAACCGATATGGGATTTCACGAGGCGGTGTGTCAACAAGAAAGCTTGCACTGAAAGAAATGGATTGTGAGATCCCATCTCTTGATTGGAGAAGGGAACGAAACATTTTTTATAAGAGGGTGTAAACCCGTCTGTGACATAGGTGTTTTAAAACCATAATAAAATGAAGAAATAAAGAAATAAAGAGGGAGAGTGAGCAATAATTGTGGGTGTGATGTGTTGTACCATAGTATCGCCCTTTGTGAGACACGAAAAACATAGAGAAAGAGTGAAGACATTATTAACCCATTTCAAAGCAACCCTTGGTTCAGATCCTATTCATTTCCCCTCTGGTTTTTTTCACCATTTTTGAAAACGCCATGAAAACTCATCAACCAAAGCTCAAAACTCAGCTTTTCTCTTGCGGATTCTTCGGCCACTGTACTCGCTCCGTCCTCAGCCCCACCGCCTCTCATTCCCCTTCGCTCCCTTCCCTTCCCTCCGCCTCCGACCAACCCCCACCCCACTCCCGCCGTCCACAGCTTCTCGATTCCGAATCCTCCTCCTCCTCCGCCTCCCAAAGCTTCACCCAATGGAGATTCCCACTTCCACATTCACCAATTTTTACCCAACACCCTTCAATTCCAGACCCACCTTCTACTTTCTCCATTCCTCCGCCACCATCCATCTCCGCAGCAACCCTTAAAGAAATCCTCCACCTCGCAGAGCTCCAACTCTGCTCCGCCTCAGACTCCGACCGCCTCGCCGCTCTCCAACTCCTCGAACGCTCCTTGGTTCCCGACCCATCTCTAGACCCTGACTGCACTCCCGAACTCATGCGCGGCATAATCGCAAATTTGAACACCAAAACAGGTTCGAAACCATCCACCAAAATTTTGCTAGCCCTATGCTTGGCAGAGAGTAATCGTCACATTGCGGTGGAGGCAGGGGCGGTCGGCGCAGTGATAGAATCGCTGCCGGAGATGGAAGACCCCGCGGCAGAACGAGCACTCGCGTCGCTCGAACTTATGTGTACGGTGCCTGAGGGAGCGGCAGAGGTGAGGGCCCACGCGCTCTCTGTGCCAGCGATGGTGATGATGATGGGAAGAATGGCAGCCAGAGGGAAGGAGTCAGCCATAAGTGTGCTTGGAGTTATTTTCGACAATGGGGTCTCGCCGGAAGCCGAGTCCGCGGTAACAGCGCCGCCGGAGGAGGTGGCGCGTGCTGTCGTGTTGGCGCTGCAGGGAGATAGTAGTGCAAGGGGGAGGAGAAAAGGGGCGAGGCTTCTGAAGGCACTGGAAGAGCAGCAAGAGGGCTCCTCCACCGCAGGTGTAGATCCGGCGACGGTGGTCGGCCGGAGTTGAGCAATCCATAATTGGAGATGAGAGATTTATAAATTGGTTTGTTGAGTCATTAGAATCGTGTGAAGTTTGATGAGTCAGCGGCTGTTCTTCTGTGTTGTCTGTTACATTGCAAAAACTTAATCCTAGGTTTAAGGTTATGTGTTTTAATATTATTTTATAAATCACATTAAAAACTTTGTTCTAATTTGTTTTTATATAAATTACTCGTTACTTATAATGTAATTATAAGTTATAGTATACCCTATACCCAACAACAGCATAAACTTAGAAATTGTAACGCTAATTTGTGAGATACCACACCTCCTTCTAGTAGGCGTGTTTTAAATCCGTGAGGTTGAAGGCGATACGTTACGGGCAAAAACAGACAATATTTGCTAGTGGTGGTCTCGAGGATGCTAGGCTCCTAAGAGGGTAGATTTTTAAAACCGTGAGACTTATGACAATACAAAACGGACAAAATGAATAATGGGCCCATGGGGTGAATTTTTAAAATCGTGAGGTTGATGGTGATATGTAAAGAGCCAAAACAAACAATATCTGCTAGCGGTGGTCTCGAGGACGCTAGACTCTAGGGAGGTGGATTTTTAAAACTGTGAGGTTGATGGTGATACGTAACGAGCCAAAATAGATAATTGGCCCACAGGGGGTGGATTTTTAAAATCGTGATGCTGATGGTGATACGTAACGGGTCAAAATAGACAATATCTGCTAGCGGTGGTCTTGAGAATGCTAGACCCTAGGGAGGTGGATTTTTAAAATCATGAGGTTGACGACAATAAGTAATAGGCCAAAATGGATAATGGGCCCACAGGGGTGAATTTTTAAAATCGTGAGACTGATACGTAACGGGCCAAAACAGACGATATCTGCTAGCGGTGGCCTTGAGGACATTAGGCACCCAGGAGGTGGATTGTGAGGATCCCACACCGGTTGGAGAAGGGAATGAAACATTCCTTATAAGATGTGCAAACCTCTCCCTAGTAGACGCATTATAAAACTATGAGGCTGATGACATACGAAACGGGCCAAAACGGACAATATCTAGTAGCAGTAACTTTGGGTTGCTACCTAATCAAAGTGGTTGTAGATGTTCATGGTTCCTAAAAGGGTGTTCGAGTTTCAAACTTTCAAAACCTAAATTTTAGAAAGTTGGAAATGTGGTGTATGCACATGTTCTACCTATTGTTTCTTACAAAGAATAAGTAGTTAAAAATAAGCAAGTTCAAAATACAATTAAAACATGCAATTAAGGTTAGAATATTGAGCAATTAAATGGGTTTTAAAAGGGGTGGCAAAGCAGCAATGCGTGGGGCTGCGAAGGGCCAGGGTGTGCGTGTATGTGATGCCTTGCTGTGTATGAGCTGAGAGAGGCTGACATTTGGCTCTTCCCCTCTGTACCCTTATTTTGTTTTGATTCATTTTTGAAATGCCCATACTCTCATATTCACCTTATAATTCCACCTTCTTCATCATTCATGGCCCTACATAAATTTACCCCCTACTCATTATGGGCACTCACACCCACATTTCCCCCCAACCTTCCCTAAATTAGGAGAATCCTATCTTTGAAGGGACATTATTTACTCATTGCTTTCATTCCAATTCAAACCATCCAAACATAATCTCAAACTTCGAGTAGGATTGATTCTCCTACTCAACCCTCGTGTGAAGTACACGTTTAATTTAGTGGGTCAGTCGTTGAAACTAGTATGGTATTCATTGGGTGACTTTCTAATAATTTTTCTATAAGTATGTGAACACAATTTAGATTCCAAAGGGTAGCTTGTATGGAACCAAATTACGCAAAGAAATAGCCCAATTCTTTCTCGAGAAGAGATAAGAAAGAAAGATGCTCAATATCCTTTGATTGGATAGTTGACCTAGCTCCTTGTTGTTTGAAGAAGCTCACTTAATATTTTTTTCACGAAAAGCAAGAGATAACAAATCCAGTCTTTCACTAAGATTTCGAATAGCTATCACAAATTCAAGTTGATTATCTTTTGCCACTTCCTCAGGGAAAGACGATCAAGCCATTCTCAATCATGGTTCTTGAGAATATGATCCTCCATATAATATACAAAAAGAAACCCTAATTTCGATCTTTAAAGGCCTAGAAAAACTCGAACAACTCAAAAGTACAGAGTTTAGAGAGTTTCTACATAGAATTTAACTTAAACCCAGATTAAGTTGAACCGTCACGAGTTGATCGTACTTGTTCTTTTCGATTCGTTTCGGGATTTGGATAATCAAAGTTGGTGAGTAACCGAATTAAACTAGGCTTTTGGTTTCTTTCCTTTGTGACATTTCCATTGAAAGACATCCATGGATCATCTCTTATCTGCCATGTCTGAGGCTTTTTTCGGTCAAAAGTAATTAAATTAAATTAAAAGCGAGGCCAGACCCAGACCCAGAAGTACTATTTGAGAGGCCATGTTTTTGTCATAGCCATTTTAGTATACCATTGGGTATAAATGGCAGAAACCCTTTGGACAACACAAGAGAAAGAAGCATTGATGTGACCACCTTCTACCTGCCAACTGTGTTGTGTTATATGCTTTAAAAGAGCCATGAAAATGTTATGTTTTTGTAAGCATATTTGCTGAAATTTTTGTTGATTTTTCACACCTCATGCCTGCTGCCATGCATGTCTCGTAGTGTTCTTTCTTAATCATAAAAGTTGTACGTTCCTTGAATATCTTCTTTGAAAGAAGTCTCCCTTTCTAATTAGAACGATTTGATCATAACTCATTTGATGTAACAGCCTAAGTCCACCGCTAGCAAATATTGTTTGTTTTAGCTTGTTTCGTATCGCTGTCAATTTCACAATTTTAAAACGCATCTATTAGGGAGAGGTTTTCACACCCTTATAATAAATGTTTTGTTACTCCCTCCAACCGACGTGGAATCTCACATTCTACTCCCTTGGAGGCCCAACCAGGGCTCAACGTCCTCGCTAACATACCACCTGGTCACTAGTTCTGATACCATTTTTCGATTTGAGCCTCTCACAATTGATCAAGACATGTATACTTATGGTTGAATTTCTTCAATTTACAATTTATTTATCTTAAAACCTAAGCTCGGATTTTCTTTGGACATTTTTTTTTTAACTTGCAGCTATTTTGTTGGAAATGGACAATTATTTATTATGCAATCAAATAAATATAATATATTGAATATTAACAAATATGGAGACGAAATTAGGGTATTGCCAATAAGTTCTTCATTAGGGAAGTAAACAAATAAGTAGTTAAAATAGTGACAAATCAATTTTTAGACAAATTGTTGTTTCTAATAATCATCATATTGTTAGAAGAAATAGCATTAACACGTGAACAGAACAGAAAAAAAGAGAAAAAGGGTTTTGAATTATTTATTTATATCATATATATACATATAGATATATCGAAATAAAACATCATGATTGGGTACCAACTATGGAAACGTGTGAGATGCCTCGGTAAGACTGTAAAAATCCCTTCATAACAGACGCGTTTTAGGGTAATATCTGCTAGCGGTAGAGTCCATGCAATATCGACTAGCGGTAGGGTCCGACTGTTACATAACACCTCACGCAAACAAGGGGTAGGATATTATCTGCTTGGTTTGAATGCCTGGATTTGCCTTTCAAGAACAAGCAGACGTTTTTTTTTTTTCTTATTTCAAGCTCACTCCAGCAACATCACAGTACAAATATATAGTTCATACAAAAACTACAAATATTAGTATTCCCAACACGAACAATCCAACAATGAGCGTCATTCTAAGGAGAAATAGCTAGCTAATTCTCTGTTATTCCTTCTCACACTGCTGACCCTCATCAGTGCAAAAAACCGACTTAGCTTACCTTCGTTCAAAAACCGAAGAGTAGGACTCAGTGTATATACATAACCTTGTAAATAAGTATAACAACGTACAACATACACATCAAGCCAAAATTGTTGCATATACAATAAGTGTACTGATGAACCTCAAGATTCATGTAGTCTTATTATGTACAGGCCTTGCCTCATTCCGAACATGCCATATCTGCAGCCATTCTTTGTTGAAGAGTGCCAGAACGAGGGTGAACACAATAGCGTAGGAAGCTACCAAACCATAGATATGACCCTTGGGTGCAATGGCAAGTTCATAATCTAACCGGCAAGACATTTAAAAGTTCCCAAATAATGGAAAGGAACCATTCAAAAGTTGAAACCCAGCTGAAAAATGAAGAAAATGCAATTAGATGACTTCAAAAATGTATTTCGATTCATTTCAGAAGACAAGACTTATAGAGTATTACCAGCTTGTTTTTCATGAAGATGATCTTACAACAGCATGCTTCATATTCCTCTTGCGTTTGCGCCCATCCATGTTATTCAAGTCAGGCGTCTTTTTAGATATCCTTTTTGAAAACTGTAGATCTTCAGCCCCTATCATGTATACATTTCCCGCCTCTGGTATGCTGAACTCAGCAGGATTTTTATTAATGCTGCAGATTCCAAACTCAGAACCAACTTTTGAATGCTCCAACATTCTTTTAGTACCATGGCGCTCTATTATACATTGTCCAGGATTTTCCACTCTATGATATCCACTCATAGACACCAAAGAACTAGAAGGACCGCCAGATTTCTTTTGCAAGCTATGAATGGGAAATACTCCTTCATTGGAGCCTAGACTACCACTTGTAAGTACACCCTTCTGTGATTTTGGAGCTCTGTTCCATGTTGAAGTGGAACACTTGGTTATCTCTTTTTGTTTACGTTGTAATGCAACTTTACCTGTTAAATCAGCAACTATTTCACAACTTTCATTTCCTATGGAAGGAGAAACTGATACACCTCCCATTGAAGCACGATGGAAACAATCGTGGGACTTCTTTTGTGGGTGGATTTCACCATAATAATCAGACAAATAATTTATGGTATCAAAGGACTTGTGCAAACCATTATCCATCCCAGAAATATCCTTAGCTTTTGGCTCATGGGAAAAAGGTTTGTTGGGAAATTTTGGGTTATCATGCGTTTCACTGCGCTGCATTCCTGCATCCATAAGGCTGAGTAAATGCATAGCTGACATGGTTTCATTAGAATACAAATCCAATGGCCCCCTCTGGTTTCGGGGAAGCTCAATACCATTAGAATGGGAAGGAAATGGGTACTTTGCACTGGTCCTGCTGAAATTTTCCAAACCATAAATACCATCATCTTTTTCAAGATTGGTAACTTTTGGATTATGGTCTCGATTCATAGCCCCTTTTCTACTTGATTCAGGACAGTTTTTACTAGCATTTACACTGGTCAACTGAGATGCAACCTTTCTAGGAGTGGTAGGTACATATGAATGATGATTTGGCAGGGCTTCTGTCCATAGATGTGCGACGTCTACATTGTTTTGTGAAACAGGATGGCGTGTGTTATTCCCCCTGAAATATTGCACCCTGGAATGAGAGGAATCCTGATCTCTCAGACCCCCAGTGTATTGGCTATATTGAGAACATGCATTCTCACAATTACTTCTTGCCAAAATTTTGACAGCATTTGATGACTTACTTTCAGAATGTCTAAATGTAGGATATTCTGGAAGGATAAGAGTCTGACGTAGGTGGTCTATGTTCAAATGTTCCGCCTCAGTGTGAGAAAAGTAATTACCTGAACTTTGTTTGCCGTATACCACACTATCTCCTGCCGTCTGCAAGTTATTTCTCAGATTCCTAACCTGGGATTTCCAGTTGTGACTGATTTTCTCCTGCAACGAGCCACTTTTGCCACATGCATTACTGAAATTCATGATTTGAGCTTTCTTTGAACTTGTCTTTGATAGGGATTTACTATTTCCAGAATTATCGAGGCACCTTTCATACTGATTTTTTGCCATGAGCTCAACAATTTCCATTGGAATGTCATCTAAAGATCTTTGCTCAGATATCTTACCAACCGTATTCTCACTCTGTTTCATCTGAGCTGCCAAGTGCTGCTGAATTGTAATACTCTTTTCAACTCTGTCCACCCTGGAATTATCCTACAAAACCAGAGTCTAGTTAAAGAACAAAACCTGAAATTTCAATTGATAAAATATAGGGAGATATGAAATAAAAGAATAAAAATAAAAGATATACAAGTTATTATAAGGAAAAAAGAGGGTCTAAGAAACATAATAATAGTAGAATTGTCATAAATGAATGTTAAACGATTTATGGTTCCATATGTAATTTTCAATGACTTATTAAAATTGAAGAGTGATGCATGTACAAAAGTGTTGATGCAATTATAAGTTCCAAGTTCCATGAAATATAAAACAAACAAGATTTCCATCTTTAGTACACAGCTTAAGAACCTAGCTACTTGTAAAAATTTTGCAAGTTTTCCATTCATAAAAATTAACACATCTGAGGATTGAACATGAAGAGGAATAATTAGAGATCAAATCTGAAGGCTTTAATATCAAGCAGTAGAAACGTTTGAGACTTAAACTCAAAGTTCCCTCAAAATACTATAATAGAGCAGTGATGAGATACTGGTGGTGGAAACTTGTAGCTGAAATGAGTGAAACAGGAAGCAAAAGATCTTCAGAGACTTTGCTTTAGCAAAAGGCCAAGAGGGAAGTGAAATTTCAAGAAATGTAATAGCTTGCCACTCTCCACTTCCAAAATCTTGTAAGAGAATAGTAAATAAAGCATTAAGAAAATGAGAAAATTCATAAGTTCCAACCAGATACGATTTATAACCTTTACACTTGAACTTTTCATATATTAACAACTACATAAATTCATTCGGCTGAAGTCCTTAAGGCATTAAACAAAACACTTAATGTTTGCATCGGTGAATGATTCCATTGAAAGCCATGAAACGTTTAGTTACGAAGCTATTTGAATCAGATGAACCATGCAGAATGCAGCTAATTTTAAGAAAAAAAATCCTCATGCATTATGAGTGCATCATAGTTTCTTCTATAGGCTACAATAACAACACAGTATGGAAGAACTGATACCATTGCCTGCAAATGAGACCAGCTACCATCATTAACTTGAGACTTTGACTTTTGCTTCCCGTTTGGGGTATGCATTCTGCCGGTGGTTATTTTACCATTGACTCCACAATGCCCTCGCCCAGAAAAATTATCTGAATAATTAAAAGCAACATTTGAGTCTTTAAGTTTCTTGGCTTTGGCATCTTTGTTCCTAGCAACGCTTGCTGTGGATGTACTTCCTTGCCAAGACAACAACGAATGCAAGCCATCCTCAGTCTTGAAAATAGACTTTTTGTCATTTCTTGCAGTGGCTAAATTGCTAGTGAGGGAAAGATGCAAACCTCCACTAGGTTCATCCGGCACTGATGGACAAGAAACAACCGTAGGAACATTGTTCCTGAGTTCCCCTTCTTTGTTCCTGAGTTCCCCTTCTTTTGAGGCTGAATCTCTTCTTGGCATGCTATTGCTCCAAGTAAAACCCCGCCTGTCATCAATTATAGGCATCTTGCTGTTCCTCTTAGACAGACTAGAAATTGGCTCAATTCTTGAACCAAATAAAAGAAAAGGATCCATTGCACTGCCAGAAAACTCGTTGTGTTTAAGAGAAATGTCAGACATGTTGCCACCACTTCCTGATGGGATATTAAGAGGGCATGCTTCAAGTTGGATCTTTTTGTTCTTCTTCTTACCATGAATTGATTTCACATCATTCCAACACTTGTTCAAGAAACTTTTCTTAGTTCGTAGAGCAGTTCCAATTAATGCATTTTCAGATTCATTAGCACGAAAAGAATCTGTTGTTTCCACATCTCCCTTCAATGCCTGAATCTTGTTATCCACGTTGTATGAAGAGGAAGTTTCTGCAGCAAGGCAATCTTCATTCAGAGGCACACTTTTCAAATTCTGACCTGACCACCTGATATTCTTTTTGGCAGCCACTGGACAGTGGGAAACAGAAAGCTCTTTTAACCCTTCAGAATTTTCTGAAATCCCATGGGATGAGGACTCTCCTGTAGAAATGGGATTGGTCTTAATATTTTCATTTTCATTCAGCAACTCAGTCAGCAGGCGCACCTTACGAGCCTTTCGACGGTGCAAACTGCCTGACTTGTGCATTCGATGATCTTTCGTATCATTTTCTACTGAAATTTCAGTATGCTCAGATGATGTGGCATCACTCTCATCAAGTTCTGCAGGATATCCATTTGCAGGATCCCTCTCACTATTACATGACCGATTAATTGCTTTTTCTCCTGATGACGAAAGAGCTATCTCAGTTTGTTCATTATGTGCACACAATTTTTTTTCATCATCAAAGACTTCAGGATTTTCATCAATCACTTTGAGATTTCGAATACCAAGCTCAACCTCAGCAATTTCATTTCCACAGAGTAGGTTGCAGTTTTCAACGGATTCTCTATGATCTGGATTAAGAGTTACTGTTTTCCAAATAAGATATAAATTTATGGGAGCAACCAAATATATATTATGAAACTATGAGAAGAGCTATATAAATGAACAGAGAGACTTTTCTAAAGATATGACTGTAGAATTTTCCCCGTATATGGAAACATGTGCGATTTCTTATCCAACTACTATAATTTCAGCAATGATCTCCAAGCAGATTTTTAATTAGCATCATAACAGCAGTAAATTACCTGGATCACTTCTGTTTTGTTCTAACATAAGGCTTGACTCTACTTCAGGAACGATACTGATTGGTATGGGAATTTCTGGATTCAAGATCCATCTAGAGTCAACCTCATAACCTGGAAAAAAACAAATAAAGTGATCAAGAGCCAGAAAAAGTAGGACATTAAAATGGAAGAGTCAGAACAAAGAATGCCTTCAGCTTTCTTTTCTTTCTCAGTAATGAAAGATGGAGGATGGTTGAGGTTGCACACGTTTGTAGATGCATTAGCCACCAAGTCTTTTGCATCAGGCATAGCTAGATTCAAAGATTGCTCAAATCCTGACAGAAAACAGAAAAAATGACAAAGTGAGAATTTGGGGGGGGG